CCCCGACGCCGCCTGCGGCTCGTTCCCCGCTGGGGCCGCGGCCCACAGGAGCCGCTGCGCGGCAGCCGGGGCCCCGGCCCCTCGGAACTCCAGTTCCAGCTCCAGCTCGGCTGCTCCAAGGTGCTCTTGCTCCTGTCATTTTTACAGCGGGGCCGCAGGTGTTCGCAGCTGCGCCTGATCCCGCCCTTTGCCACTTGATCCTAGCAAAAGGCCGAGAGGCAATGATCCCGCCCTTTACGGTCTGCAAAGGTGCCACCTCACCAGGCACCACCCTGAGTAGAACGAGGAAGCAGGACTTTGGTAGGCACAGGTGCAGCCTGTAGGGGACCGGCGCCCTCAGGGCTGGGCCCAGAGCCAGAGGCCCAGGGAAGATACCCCCCAGAGGTAAGATGTCTCCAGACCTCCGGGTGAAAATGCAGGCCAAGAACTTCAGAGTGAAACCTTGAGCCCTGGGAGTCCAGGCGGCGCGAAGTGACCGCCTGTGGAAGCTCCAAACTCCCTGCACTTCCTGCAGTGTTTGTTGGACCTGGGGAGTAAGCTGTCACGGGTAAATCTCAATTAATACCCACCCCCACAGTAGCCCCATTTATAGGGAGGACCCAGGCGTAGAGAACGCGGAACAGCTTTCCCGAGGGCCATTAGGAAATCAGTAACGTACGCGGATAGTGTAACAGTAGACACACAAACAACGCGGGTCCGAATTTGCAGTTTCAAACACCCCAGACTTGGGTTCTTCCACATACTTGCAGAAGGCCCTGGTTTACCTGATCACTGAGTACAGCCAAGCCAGACGAGAAAGGCCGCCCTGCTTGTCACTGGCCTGACTGCTCTTGTTTCCATTTGTCCTTTCCCAGGTGGACCACAGCCTCGAAATGTGATGTAGATATTTTATCACACATTGGAAATGTTCTCCCGCTCCCTCCTCTTCTGCCTTTCTCTCCACCCCACTACAAAACTTCGTCTCCTTCCTCACAATCCAGTTCTCTTGTTTCATCTATTTAGTCATGAATTCCTTTCAGTTTACCTGAGAAGTGTCTCTTTCATCTGTTTACAACTCTGCGCTTCCACTACCTTTCTTCTTATTCTCACTTCTTGCCTAGACTATCACAAAAGCTTTCTAGTGATTTCCAAAGGGTGTGTCTTAAGTATTTCACTGGGGTGCCTCAGAAGATCAAAGTAATGGACAGGTAATAGGACCCTAAAATAGTAACCTCTGTCACCTAATACCCAGCTCATCTCCTCATCCTCAGTAAACCTGCTGTTCTGGGCCGCCAGCCCCCAACTCCGGCCATCTCTGTGAGAAGCCTGAGGTTCTGCTGGAACGCTTCCCTCTGTCTCCCCAGTTTAACACTGAGTCCTGCCGATTTTACTTCGTTATATATTTCTAAAATCAGGCCTCCAGTCTGTGAAGAGGTTAAATTACAACAAATTTTAAGATCAAACTGGGTTTTATTAGAGAGTCTAAGATTGGGCAACATCTCATTCTGTAAGACAGACTGGGAGTTTAGATGAGCTGCATAGAAGTGGTTGGCTTTGTCAAAAGAGGATGAAAAAAGAACCCATAGAAACAAAAGGCAAATTAGTTCTTTTAGCGTTGCTTTTTAAATCCAGTTTAAAGGTTTTGCTTGCTCAGGTAAATGGGGACTGTTACTGATTGGTAGGCTGTGATTAGTCCATCAGAATCTGTAATCACTGGGTCAGAGATCTTGTTTGATTTGCTCCCCAACATATCCCAGCACCACTGCAAGGCATGGCATATTACTGATAGCTAAATGACAGCATAACTTACAGGATTAACAATTTCCACGGGGTCTTGCAACCAGAGTTGTCACTGCAGCTATAGTGGTTCTGAGACAGGTGGAAACTGAAACCAGATTTAAGCAGATGAAGTGTAAGCAAGGGAAAAGGTCACTGTACATATTGCAAGAGTCAATGAAGGAGTAGAATAGCTTAGTGAAAGAGCACAGGCTTTGGAGTCATACAATTTAAATTACTGACTGTAAGATGAAGGGAAAAACTATCTCACCATATATCTTCCTGTATAAAGTAGTACTAAAACCATCTGCCTCATTAAGCTGCTTATGGATTCAAAGAGTTGGTGAAAAACATCCAGACTGTGTGATGGACCCTCCTCCTACTCACTGCACAGTTCCTGATTTCAGGCTCCACGATGACTTCAACTTGATATACATAGCATGATAATTGGGCATACTGGGAAGGTAAAAAATATTGGTGAAGGGAAGTATAAAAATTGTATCTTCAGAATTATATTTATAAAATTTACTTTCGTTAAAAATATGGCAGGTGTAGTGAAAAACTACAAAAACACCATTCCATGGGCCCAGCCAGTCCTGGAGTCTATCATTGTGAACCTCAGTCTATTGTTCTGTCTTCCTGAGCCCATGGAACCTCTAGTGGTGAGCAGTATAATCAGAACAAGGCCATAAATCCACACTGTAAAGTCCATGCAGGTGAAGTACAAGTGTTCCCTGCTTTCTCATGGAAAGCACTGGAGAGGCTTGTATATCCCACACTATCATAGTTAGGAGTTTGCAATCTTTCCATCTCTGCCCAGAGTCACAGCTTTTTAACAGGAGCCAAGAGAGACCGAGCTTTGCCCAGAGTCCCCGGCAAGAGGCAGAGATAAAGGAGGCTCCCTGCCCTGAGCAGAGTGCATAGGGTACTCAAAGTAGATATGGTGGCAGCCAAGGGCACCTAGAGTTTATTATTTATTTAAGATAAAAACAAGGAGTGTGTGATCAGCGTCTCTCAGCTTTGACTTAACCACTTTTTTAAAGTGTTTTTTTCATAGCCAGGTGTGATTGTGCGTGTCTGTAATCCCAGCTCCTCAGGAGGTCTGGATAGGAAGATTGCTACTTCAAGACCAGCCTGGGCAATTTAGAAAGACTCTGCCCTAAATTTTTAAAACAATTTTTTGAAGGATGGTGATGTAGCTTAGTGATAGTTCCTTGCCTAGAAGGCAAGAGACCCTGAAATCAATCCCTAATTCCACCAACTAAACAAATCAACCAACTAAATAAAAAAAGACTTTTCCCCCAAGACATAAGGTGTGAAGAAGGCTAGGGAAAAGCTGTACACATTAATCATGCTTCATGGTGGAGGCACTGATCCAAATCATCTCTATTCTTGTTTCACAAATGTGAGAAAGAGGCCCATGTCACTGATGCCAGGCTTTCAGTTCCTGAGCCTTGTAGGGAAGGGGCACAGGTAAAGAGTCCCGCATCTATATGACGTACTGCTTGGAAAATCTCCTTTCTGCTCCAAAACAGAAACAGGTCTGTAATTACTTCCAGTAGGAAATTACTGCTAAATAATATACTTACTAAGATATCCAGCTAGAAACAGCTTCAATGGGAGACTGGTAAGTTTAGAAATTAGATCGTAAACTTGCAGGAAGCTGCAAGGCCAAAGAAGTTAGATATCATTTCCAAAATAACTGTGTGAAAATACTCCCGTTTTAGGAACCCATCTCAAAAACATGGGAAGACTAAAAGTGTAAAATCTGAACATGTTTTTGACTAGTTTCTGAAAGACAGATTCCAAACTTGTTTTTAAATATCAAAGAAATTAATGACCCAAGAATCTTACTTTAACCATTGTTTATATCTTATTCAAACAAGACTTGTACAAAGCCATGCAAACAGTGAACACACTTGTATTCAGATGTAATAAATCTACAAGGGCAGCCCTGTTTTGAAAATCAGAACTGTTTCGTGAGAAGTTATGTAGGAGAGCCTGCAGAAGCCTTGGGCCTGGTGTATTTGGTAGGATTTGGAACAACAGTATAGATTATCCACTTTCTTCAGCCAAGCATCAGTGGATGTAACAGAAAGCAGGGACCTGTTCCTCTTGGCTTCTCTTTCAGAAAAGGTACAAAAAGTACCAATCACTTATGAAGCAGAATGATGTAACTAAGCTGTGTAAGAGCCTAAAAAGTCCCTCTGACCAGCAGAGGTTCCAGTGTTTGCACTGTCAAAGGCAACTGTTCTCAAAGTGGGCTGAGAATTACACTTAAACCGTGATAACTTCAATACTCACACTTCCCTACAGACCAATTTAATTGGTACTGAAGTAAAATGACTGGACCTGGGTAGTTTTAAAACACTGCCAGGTGATTTCAAGAGCAGCCAGGTTTAAAACACAAACACACACACACACACACACACACACACACACACAGGCAAAGGCTTATCACCTAACTAGGACAAGCATGTATCTTGCGATCATCTTTTCCCTCTAGTCCATTTTTCTCCTGAACCTTATCGATTGTGCGAATCAAAATGTCACTTTGCCCCGCTGCACTATCACTGTGACTTTCCCATATCACAGTGAAGAGCTAAGCACTTTGTACCCCAAGATAAAACAAAAATTGTGGAGTCATCTCACCGATTGTGATCTGAAAAACCTTGAACATTTCCCATAAAACTTGGCTCCCTAGCAGAAGCAATTTTGGCATCTGTTGGGAACTTTATGAACATGACAATCATGTGAGGCACTTGCTGTCTTTCCATCAGGTACAGACTAATGCAAACTCAGAAATCTTTGCATTTTTTAATTATTTTCCTTTGAACATTATATTTTTTCATTTGGCAAGATAGGCCTGCTCTTGTTTTCCTTGCAGGTAAATTTTTCCTTTCTGAAATGCTTCTGTCTCTGAGTCATTTTTCAACAAGGTAAAGGCACCTCAGTCTCCTGCTGCAAGCAATCAGGGAAAAAGCTGAAAGCTGAGAACCAGCTCAGTTACCCTACATGTTGGCAGGTATAACCCAATAGCCAGCTCAAGCATGGAATGCACCCACTGGCTGTTATGAGGAAATCCCAACCCTGGGGTCACATCCCTAGCTGCAGGCTTCTTAGGCAGGCTTTAGCCGTGTTAACCTTATCTGCACCAAGCTAATTATTTTTACCAAATTACACCAGAGACACCTGGAGTTAGAGACACCAGAGACACCTGGAGATATGCAAACACAAACACACATCAAGGGATTTCACTTTATGCATTAGAAGCCTTCCCCTAGTAACTTGTTAAGATGAAAGTATGTATGTCAACAACTGCACCAGGAGAACTCAGCTACTTTACTTTCCTGGAACTGCATGGGAATGATTATAAAATTCTGTATTGCTCTTTAGCTAATAAAGTGATGGCTAGCAAATCTTACATGAAAGAGTAGAATGTGAGCACTGTGAAAGGAAACAGTACCTGTCCTGTGTTACTCCCAAGGCAGTGCTTGGTAAACATGGTAAATGCTCAGTAGATGTATGTCAAATGACCGAAATACAAGGACTAGGAAACTTTCTAGTCCAGAGCTTAGGACTGCAATAGCGCCTCTGCAAATAAAGAATTCACTTAGAGTTGATTCATGCATAAATGCTACCCTAATATTTAGGGACAGAACTTACTTTTCTTGAAAAAATCAAGCAGTTCACTAACAAGTCTAATAGGTTCTGTAAAAAGTTTATAAATTTCTGGGAGTTTTTCTACTCCAGTTGCAAAGAACAATTTATATTGTCAGTCTCAGTGCCTGCCAATCCAGTTCAGCACCCATTAGCAGTATTCGCTAAGTCTAGTACTATTCTTGTATAGACATGACAGTGGAAGCTCCCTTGGAATTTTAAATCCCCCTGACCCCAATCAGCTGGGGCAGGAGTACAGAGGCGGCCAAACCTGGAAGGGAGCAACAACATCAAACCAAGCCAAGCCCATCCATATGCTGACATACAACTCCCATGCTAGGCCCCATAGGGCAATGGAATCTACTTAGGTCACAAAAATTCTTTCTGGAACTCCTTATAGGAGCATTAGGGGGGCAGAATGGCCACACAGAGGAGCAGAGATTCCAGGAGAGGTAGAGACCACCCCAGCTCAAGGTTCCCTACTATATACCATCTACTTCTAAGGTAAAGCACTGAGATCAGTCATGTCAAGGTGTGACCTCCAGCATCGTAAACAAAGGAATACAGGACAGTTCACATAGCACAAAGTTGGGGTCAAAGCCCCAAAACATAATAATGATATTTGGTACAGTACTTCACAGAAAGGGGTGTCATTATCAGTGCAGTGGTTAACACAGGTAAATCTTAAACACTTGCTAAAATACAGATCAAAATCTGGAAGAAGAGAAAAAATAGTCTGAACTAGATGCCTTGCAAAAGCTTTCTTTGGGGTTATTTCTTCACTGTGGGTGATACTAAGCAGGTTGTAATGGGCCAAATGCCTACTACAGTTTGAGAGAATATTTTTAAAAGTACGAGTTTCTCTATCCTTTTCCTATAGCTGGTGTGTTATAGATAAACTAGATTGACTAACCCAAAACAATACAGCCAAATAATAAAAATACATTAAAGATTTTAAATAGAATTATCATATGACCTGCTTATGTGAATATACTCCAAAAGAATTAAAAATAGTATAGAAAGGTTATTTCTTTACTCATTCACACAACATTCTGCATGATAGCTGAAAAGTGGAAGCAATTTGTAAGATCCTCAAAGGATGCCGAAAATCTGCTAAATCCTTGGCTCTGAATGGCCTCTTAGAAGTGGCAGTTATTCAGTGAAATTGGAAATAGTCCATCTTCTCTAAGTGTTAGACCATTGTGTCCTGGTTTCTGACAAGGTGATTCTGGGGAACCTGCCAGTGATAACTCGAGAAGACGCAAATTTCATCTAATCTGAGATGAATTGTTGGATACTTCAGCTATAGGCTCTATCGAACTATTTCTAGATATCCATGTTAAAGAATGCCTCACTGTATCATTTACTGCAACCACTTCAAATCCATTTCATTCCATTCTTCTACACCTTCTCTTCATTCTCTTTGTCATAGCCCAGAACTAGAGGGCAAAGCTTTCTGGTCCTTGTTCCTTGTTTTCTTTCTGCTGGCGATCCAGAGGCAAGGTGGCTAACTTATACATCACAGGAAATAATACAGCAGTGAATACTGCTGACCCCAAACATGTGTGCAGAACTACTGGCAAATCTGGGTATTGTCCCTGGAGAATTCCAATGACTGCAGGAATAGCCATTTCTCCAAGAGCACCACCAATTACAAAAAAAGCCGCAGATTTCCCACTTATGGTCGTATACTGCTCAAGCCAAGAAATACCACTGGGAAAGGTGGTGGCCATTGAGGCCCCATACACAGAACTCCCTATCCAGACACAAAGTGGGCTCTTGTCAAAAAGCACCAGGAATAAACACGAGACCACGCTGCCAATGTTGCTCAGCACAATCATGGTGCCAGGCTGTAAACATGCAGCAAAGAAGATTGCCAGGCCCCTGCAGGCTGCAGAGGTCCCCCAGAAGATGGAGTTCAAGCCGGCGGCTTCGCTTTCCTCCAGGCCAACGTGGGTGGTGGCAAAGGAGAAAATGTAAGAGCCATAGGTTATCTCAGCTCCAACGTAAAAAAAGAAGAACAGAAAAAGGAGGCAGAGCAGGGCCTTGTGATGTTTAGCTCTTCGAGATTCCTGAGCAGATGCTGCTGACTTTTCGTGCTTCGAGGTTTTCTTGAAAAACAAAGCAAACAGGAAGACAGAAACTACAAAGATGTAAGTGCCGATGGAAGCATAAGCCCACAGTAAGTTCAAGTCATCAGGTGCTGCAAACAGAAGGTCTGGGTCGGCTTCAGGTGATCGGTTGAGGGCTGGATGGTGAAGGTCAGGCTCTGTGTGGTTTTCAGCTGACACTGTCGTCCCCAAGGCCAATTTTGCCAGAATAGGAGCCAAAAAGGCACCCAAGGCAAAACTGAAGTGTAAGGCCTGCATATGTGGGGCTCCTTTGTCCCCCCATAGAGTTAAGATAAGGACGTTCCCACCTACCAATGAAAGATACGGGAAATGACTTAAGCTATACACAGTAGGTTGGTAAAAATAAATAAGTAAATAAGTAAACAATTCATTACTATTGGAGGATGAGTCTGTATTACATGGCAGCAGCTTTGTGACATTCTCGGTCATCAAACACTGCACCTGATTCAATTCTGTGTTTAAGGAACTCTAACCCACTGGCACCAAAGAACTATTTATTTTACCATCTTATATATACTACATGGACTTGTGCAAGTGGCAAACCACTGCCTCTGAGAGCCACACACATCAACCAAGGCTTTTTATAAAATAGTACTAAACTAGACTGGAGAGTATGATTTATAGAACTACTTATTTGTAAATCTTTCAAATATATTTTGAAGCAAACTTTTATCACCACATAGTGGCGAAATGTCCAAAGCTTTTTGTACTTGGAACTGGTAGTCACTTCAAGCACATTATATAAATATAGATTATGCATATAGATACATAGATGCATAGACACAGATACATGCAAAGCACATATTCAGGCACCTGACTACTTCAGGACTCTGTTATGTCCCTTTACAGGCCACAATAACACCTTTCAGTGTTTGCATTTACATTGTCTGAACACCTCCAAGATATCTGACTTTTTAAAAACTCTTATACTTTCCGATAAACATGTATTGCCACCCTGTAAATTTACCACCAAAATGAACAGAAGTATAAAGCATTTCTACAGTCTATCAAGTAACTTTAGAGCATGGAAGGACAGCTCGGAAAGGGGATTGGGTAGGAAACCATTATCACATATGTTATTAAGCAGGTATTCAAAGAGGTGATGATGGAAGCTCTTCTGTAACAGGCAAAACTTTTGAGTGATAAAAGAACAGAAAATGAAAGAAAAGAAAGTATGCACACCACAAGTTTCTCTTAGCTCAATAACTAGGGTACATTTTAAATTGGACAGCTGTCTCTGTGCTTTTGGAGCCAAAAAGTGGTTCCTATTAAACTCAATTCCTCCCACCTTACAGTGATAAAATTCTCTCCTGAATGAAAGTCTATTCACTGTACTGCCCTTACCCACTGGGAGGGCCCTTCCCTGTTTGTATATTGTATCTCAATAATTTCCCATGACACAGTCTTTTAACTACACTTTGTCTACTGAATTTCAGTGCCGAACTGACCAAGAGAGGAGCTGTGAGGAGGGTTGCTCTGATCAGGTGACACCATTACCCACGCAGTAAGTCCCTGTCACTTCAAGAGCACTGCAAGTGACATTTGATACACTGTGCTCTACTTTTCATAGCAGTTATGTCCCAATCCTAGAGATGACACTGAAGAAATTTACTAACCTGTATCCAGAGTTCCATATGAAATACCAAAGATGGACATCATGACAATCAGTAATACTGCTCTCTTGCAAAAAGGAATGAGATAAAGACCAACTGTGGTAGCCAATAGTGACACTCCTGGGAAGAAACATAATAAACTCAATTGTAAAAAAACAGTATTCATGCACAGTCATGCATCAAGTTAACATCATAAAAACTTCCAAGAATATAAAATAAGCCCAAATTAAAACAAAGTTATCTTGAGAAGATGTGACTTGCAGATTGTACAAGTGGTTATTTTATCTAAATCTTCCATAATTTTTATGGACTATAAATATGAATTACTATGACATGAAAATAATTCTAGCACTGCTAATCAAACTGAAAGTTATATCACACAGCAAAGTTTTACAGAAAAAGACAGAAGGCAAAAATCATTTAGTTAAATACTTCATATGTATAGCCTCTTATGGGAATTTTAGATATGAGTTATCAAGGTAAAAAGATAAAAGAGAATACAATTGATATGGTATTTTTTAGTAAAATATTAAATAAATCAGTTTGGGGAAGGTTGAGGGATGTATAGACAAATATTGTTGGGCTGGAGAGGTCTCTCAGTTGTAGAGAGACAACTGAGATGCTTGAGCAGCACCTACAACTACAAAAATTTGGGTTCAATGCTCAAGACAATAAAATATTATATTCTTTCAACTCACTTTGGAAACAAAAGAGATTACTTATTATTAGCAATAAATTTTTCTCATTGCTTTGAAAGACTTTATCATGTTATCCTTGAACCTAAATTTTCTTTAAACATCAATTTAATCAATCAATTTATATTAACAGCTGTGCCATCTATGTCCAGGGGATATAGGGCTATCTGGGGTCATCACTGGTATGGGGCCACAGGGATAAAAACACAGCTGACATCAGTCCCTCACCATCCTGGACCCAATCATGTGTAATTCAGAGGCCATGGAGCCTGAGCAGATGTTAGGTGCTACTTCTGATCTCTGTGGCCCCAGCAGATCTGCCTTCCACCCTCATAAGCAGACCTTTTGGACACCCGCTGTGTGACCCTGAAATGGTTTTCACAAGAGCACAGCACAGATTCCCCCTCACTGCCACGTTGAGAGATAGCAGGGAACCCAGCTTCATGGAGGATGCCCAGCACTCCCTATTTCAGTAGTGAACCATCCTGCAGGCTGCTGTTTTGTCTGTGGATAGCCAAGATGAAAACTAATCAAAAGTCAACAAAGAAGTGAAATTGCTGTTTACTTACCTAAAAGTAAAAGGTGATTCATACAGTCAAAAAGAATTCCACCAATCAAAGAGCCACCCAAATATCCCAAAGCACGACCCACAAATATTTGAGAAAGACTGCTCATATTTTGGTTCACATTTCTTGCCAAGTCTTGAAACGTGGGTCCGAGTATAGCAATAGTCATTCCCTGAAATTCAAAAACAGCTTTTATTTACAAGGTAACATGAATGTAATTTATGTCCACTACAAAAAAGTGAGGAGTGGGTTATAATGCAATGCAGAGAATTACTTTAAGCCCTCCAAGAAGGAAATAATGTACAGTGACAATACAAGTATTATTGGAGCCACAGACCCTTACTGCCTTTCTTTCAAAATTCTCAATTTTTAAAAAATTATTTAATTCTTGTGGTTTTCGGTTGCATGTTGTTTCATATTTGAATAATATCATAAAATACTATTCGGTATTAAAAGGTAATAAGGAGCTTGGGATGTAATTCAGCGGCAGAAAAATTGCCTAGCATGCCTAAAACCCTCAGTGTGATCCCCAATACAGAAAAAAATTAAGTAAATCTATTCTAAAATACACATACATACATATACACATATGCTTTTATGTGTACTAACTAAGTACTCTGTCACTAAGACACATAACTAACTTTCTACCGACCTTGCAGGGGTCTTCACACTTGTGATCCTCCTGCCTCAGCCTCTGGAGTAGCTGGGATTACAGGAGTACACCACCACACCTGACCAGGGTTCTGTATTTTGATATATACCACTTGCAATACCATGAAAATTTAGAAGTTAAAAATTTAATTATCAAAATATTCTCATTTTTGCTTCTTTAAAACAGCAGTATTTTTGGTGCACATCGAGTCCTTCCTCAGAACTACAAATCTACACAATATGCAGGAAATAAACAACTTAAACATTTTTAAGACTATATTTTTCTTCAAAGAAATCAGGAGTACAGTTGGTAAGGCTTCCTTGGAAAGTTCTATATGCATATGTGCAGAATAACTTTTGAAATAAAATTTTACTTGACAATATGTTGTGATAAGTTGAATTTGGCCTAAGCTATCTCCATAGGCACCAAATAGCATCCTAATTTCGTATATCAAAAATACAACCTAACTGTAGTATCTTCTTATAACAAATGACTGAGACTTGGCCAAACATATCAGCCAATCCTTCAACCAGTTGCAGGCTGCACAGTGCAGACACATGTCAAAATAAGGTAAACACAAGCTGCAACTAATCAGGCTATTTCTGTATGTAGCTTCTTGTTTCTGTATTCCTGCTCATATGCTAGGTAGATTCTCTAAACCTTCACTGGTTCGTATTTTACAACTTGTTCAGAGAAACCAGTGTCTCTACCACTGGAGATTGCTACAGGAATGCCCCATGAACACATTTAAAGTAACCATAGCTACTGTTACTGTAGCACCCTTTCTATATGAGAAAACATGTATAAAACCAGAAACTAGGCATTGTTATGGTTTGTGTCTAGATGTGCCCTCAAAGCCTCATGCAGCCTTGGACAAGGCTTTGCAAAGGTGGCTGAATCTAGAGTATATGTTGCTGGGATGAAGGGTGTGTGATCAGTAAGTCACTCGCTGATTGGTTTGGCATAGTTCCGGCTAGGATTAAGGGTGCAAGTCATACACCTGCCCTAGGATGGGTAGCCTGCATACAATATAAGAGACAGAGTCTTGTATGCTTGCTTCCTTGTGGCTTTTGCTATCTTGTGGGCGCCATGAACTATTCTCCTTGTGGTGCCCCTCTGCCAAGCCACTCTGCCTTGGAGCCAGAAGATTAGAGACAGATACCTCTACACACTGTGAGACAAATAAACCTTTTCCCCTTTAACTTTGGATGTCGGGTATTTTGTATTAGCAGTGAGAGAACAGTAACTAAAACAGGCACGGAAGGTGGCAAGTGAATATTATTTGTAAGTGTTCAAATGATCCAGCAGGTACTAGAAGTGATATTTTCCTAGCTGTTTATGATATTGCCAAATTAAATTGTAAAACATCTCTACTAAGTTGGCCAACCCTTTATGGGAAATTGTGATGGGTTACCTCACAAGTAAAAAATTGGCATAGGAATCAATGAGTCTGTTTTGCAAGATAATTTCCTATACTTAATTTTGTCTTTATTAGGTTTTTGACCTTTAAGAAAACTGAATACTATTAAAAGAGCTAAGGTTATGCAAGAATTGTATAATTTTTGTTATTTGCCTTTGACCTGTTAGTATCACTTTGGATAAATGAAATATATATATTTCATATATATATATATATGATCTTGTTTTGATGAAGTATTTTAAATCCTAGATGCTTTGAGGAGCCTTTCAAAGTCAAATTCTAAATTAAATCTTTTTGGCGCTGGGGATTTAGCTCAGCAGCAAAAGCACCTGCCTGGCAAGCGCAAGGTCGTGAGTTCAGTTCCCGGTACCGGAGAAAAACCAAAAAAAATAAATAAATAAATAAAATAAAATAAATTAAATCTTTTTGTGACCTTGAATTAATTTTGGGATTTCCTGGGCAGGCCCTTTGAAAAGGAAATCTGTCTTTACAAAAAAAGAGGTATTAAACAAATGGGGCTTATTTGATGTATTAAATCAGAAGCTTTGTCAAACAATAAGCAATGCCAAAATTTCTTTCAGTTGTAGTTGTATGAATGTGTTATTACTGTGTTTAAAGTGGTATATAATACAAAGAAATCTAATACTTCTCATATAGTGCTGTCACTCATAACGCTAGGTTATTAACTTAAAATATTTGCCTCAAAGGCTGGGCAAGGTGGTGCACATCTATAATCCCAGCACTTGGGAGGTTGAGGCAGAGGATCACTGCCAGTTTGAGGCCATCCTGGGTTACAAAGTGAGTTCAAGGCCAACCTGAACTACATAGTGAAGTCTTGTCTCAAAAAGACAAAAAACCAAAACTGTTTGCCTTAGAAATAACCACATTTTCTGGCCAACTGTATCACTGTTGTAAAGATTTCTCAATTCTTAATGAAAGACTATTTTAAATATTGTTATTTGCAGTCAATTGTTTAATCTGATATTTTTCTATCAGTTGGTATTCAAGAACATTCATGGAAAAGGCTTTAAAGTACAGGTTTCTGGTAACTGTAAGATCATTCCATAGGACTGGGTATGAATTCTCAAACTTTAGTAAAGAAATGGACTAGATCATAAACATCAAGCCAATGTATAACTCAATTCAAGCACAACTAAAATGAATTAAATACTAAGGAAGTGGCTTAGCTAGATTTTGATGCCAACTCAGTCAGTACAGAAATTAACATACACAATTTGAATGAGATCCATAACAATGATTCAAGCCTCACCGTTTATCATGTTACCTACATACTAAACGGTATATGCACCTGAACTAGAGAAATGAAATGGATTTTGAAGATCTAAATCCACTGCTAAGTCTGAACTCATGAAAAGCTTGGATAGCCTGCCTGGTCCTTACTAAATTTTATACCTTATGCTATTTAAAAGACTGCACTTCATGACTCATCATGGAAGAGAGGAAATTATCAAAATTATGACAAAACATTGGTAGGGTAAATATTGTGAAACTGTAAAATTTGGTTATAACCAATGTTTAGTTTGTCAAATTTGTAATTCTGGTAGGACAATAAAAACCTCAAGGGCTACATTTCTAGTACCTGGAACTTTTCAATACCTACAAATGTATATCATTTGCTGGGCATGGTGGTGCACACCTGTAACCCCAGCACTTGGGAGCCTGGGCAGGAGGATCACTGCAAGTTCAAGGCTAGCGTAGGCTACATAGTGAATTCAAGGCCAGCCTGAACTACAGAGTGAGATCCTGTCTGTCTATCTATCCATCGGTCTGAATGGATATTACGCACTTCCAACCTTCAATATCTATTTTCTGGTTTTATAGACGTTTTCTCATGCAGGAAGCCCGATGCTCTAACATTAGCTGTAGTTATTAAAACTGTGTTTTATTATGAGGCATTCCTGTAGCAATCACCAGTGATAGTCTCCCTGCACAAATTGAACTGTTAAATGATACTATTTGCCTTACTCAAAACACAACAGTGTATTAAGCAAAGCTAACGGAATCAGCTGGATTGCCTTAGTCAAGGTACTAAAATTAATAGCAATGGAATTCATTTTCACTGGAGAACACAGATTGATTCCTCATGAAATAGTTGTGGGAAGCCCCCAGTAATAGAACTGCATATATCTCCCACTTTCATAAACTCAGTAGTGCAAGGTTTTAATGCATTATGCTAAAGTATATTTTCACTAGGTAAAAGAAGCCCTTTATGCCCCACCAACTGATGACAACCAGAACTTTCATGATCCAGATCTTCAAGAGAGGGTCTTTTGGAAACACCACCAGAAAATGATGGCCCTTGACTCTGCTGGTAGGGATGATAGACTTTCCTCTGCAGCAAAGTATCAGGGTACTGAGTCTTAGATCTACACCTCACATCTCTAAGGGGCCCTGCCAATTTCCTGAAACTGTATACTTAAATCTCAAGGCAAAGCTGACCAGAGATGTTTCTCTCCAGAAGATGACACCATAGATGTGGAAAGCTTTCCTAAGGTCATAGATTAAGACTTCTCTGACACTGTGAAAGTCTTACTTTCTTTCCTTTTCTAACTACTGTATTACTTGCTATCCTAATCCTTTCCCTTTCCTTACAGGAAAATCTATGCGACCATACCTGTGAATGACATTAGTAAAGGCTAATTTTGCAGCAAGAAACCAAAGCAACTGTGTGATTTGTGGGCTAATGCCCCCAAATCGGTAAAAAATTTCTCTACTGCCAAGGACACTCCACATTCCCACTGAGCTCCTTGGAAACCCCAAAAGGATGGAAAGCTTTCCTTGATATTCTAAAAATCACTGTTCCTTGCTTTTTTATACTTGTGGGAAGTGTGGAAGTAGTGCTCTGAATTTTCCTAAATATATAATCACCACCAAATACAGAAAACCTATGAGTGATGTCTGAAAGAGCACAATGCATGTGCAAAAGAGCTGCAGATTGATTATGTGGGTGATTTCCCTAAGCCAAAAAGAGAAATGAAAAACAAATGTTGATAATACTGGTGTTCATCTGGACGCTGGCATGGAACCATTAAGGAAGGTTCTCAAGGAAAAGGAACATGTGTTCTTGGAGCACCTAGCAGTTTCCAGGCACTCTGAATGATGGATAGCAGGTCTGGCTATTCCAAGGTTTTATATCATCTTTTATGTTTAGTGTGTCTCCTGGTTCCTGTGTGTTACCAGACTACCTACAAAAGATCAGGCCATTTTACAGACAACTATGGTCCTGTATCACCATCATTCCCCAAACAAAGACTAGGACCAAGCAGACTCAAATACTGTTGAACTCTCTTTAGGTATTGGCTAAGCTTTGGATGATTTGATTTTGATCAGTTTGGCTCACTGAGACACCTGTTACAGAATGTACTTGAGTTTCTTGGTATCACGGATAGCAAGATAGAAGTACTGTAATATCTCCTGACATCCTAAAATCTCCCTTGTGTAATGTGCCTCCTCAAGTCATAAACGTTTCTATGCAAATATCCTGTGTCATCAAGTGGTCAACAACAACAACAAAAAAAACAAAGCATCAACAATCATCCATCTCTTGTTATTGTCAATTGTGAATTCCAAAAATTGATCAAATCAGTCAGTTATGTTGGTGACAGAAAGTGTTGTCAGTGCTCAAGGTCTCAGTCAATCTCTCAAAATTCACAGGCTGACCAAGAGCAGAGAACTGTTCATTAAATATGGCACAAAGCTGCCTGTGTATCTGGAAAACTACCTCAACAAGTCAATAAACTGTACCCTGAGAATATGTTCATAGAGTAAGTTGACGGGATGTCAAAGGTTCAGCGTGTCACCTGCAGCAAACTGCTTAGAAGTGTGTGAAGGCAAATGTACTGTGACCAATAAAGCTATTTCTATATGTCACTGTCTTGTTGTCTATAGATATCACCTGCCACATTCCTGGGTGGATCATTCTGAACCTTCTACCAATTCAGATGCACCTCAGGGTGTGTCTTTGTCCAAAGAAGCTGTAAAATTAACTTGTCTAACCTTTTATTAAGTATCAGTAAAAACTAAGCGATACAGTTGGCTTTGACAGGAAATTCCTTGGATCCTTAAAAAATGTTCATCTACATTTGAAGAATAATTGATACTAATTGAATGCTTGTGCTGGGTGTACCCCTTGTCCAAGCAGGGACAGTCAGGACTAAGGAGCAGAATAAGCACAGGTGCCCAGCAAACATTAAATACAGACAAAAGTCAGAATACTGGCTCAAATCAAATCTGCTCCACGCACTCAAAGAACTTACAACATGGCACACCCTGAGGCTCCACTAAACATCTACTATGATTTCTTTGTCACCCCTACTTCCCCCAATCAAAACACTAAACAACTGGCTGAGGTGGAGATGCTAAGTGACCAAAAGTGACTCTTCTCAGGGGACTCACCCTCCCAACACCCCAGGATTACAATCATCCAGTGAAAAGAGGAAGTTTTCCACAAATACTGAATTGAGGGGCAGCCCAAGGGTTTGGAAGAAAACACTTGTAGTACTGCACTTTGCCCCAGGACTAACATAACATTTAACAATATATAGTCTTGATTAAAATAGGATTATGGGCAGAGAAAGAGATGTTTGTGGCTGTACCACTTAACTAGCTGTGATCTGGAAAAGTGAGTTCCACCCGGGGTCCATTTCTAACTACAAAATTAATTAGTTGGCTGAATTTGGCCAGGCCATTAGGAAGAGAAAAATCGAGAAAATCACTTTTCCGTGCAATAATTTGGCACGTGGTAGAGCAGTCGCTAGAGATCTGCCAACCCCTGTTGTATCTCCTCATTGAACCAAGAACATGAAGGTTAGCTAGTTTGGAAAACATACTAGGAAAATCAATTTCCCACTTGACAGAAGCCCTCCATGGTTACGGCTGTGCCGCGTGTTACACGAGGAAACCGAGGCCCGGGCAGATTAGTTAATGACCCAAAGTGACAGTGCGCAGGGGGCCAACTCGAGACTCCGACTGGGAAGGCCAAGTTCTCTGCAGAGAACCGCTCGGGCCCGGGAGGGTTGCAGCCCAGCTCTCACCAGCCCCAGGAAGGAGGCATACAGGACCGCGGTGGTGAACCAGCGCAGCGCGCTCCCTGTCCCGGGCACCGCCACCGCCTTCAGCTCAGGCTCGGGGGCCGAGGCCTGGAGGAGCCGCTGCTCAGCAGGCGGGCGCCCGGCCCCACGGGACTCCGTTTCCAGCTCCAGCGCGGCGGCGGAGGGGAGGCGGCCGTGCATCTGCCGAGATTTTCTTCGCCGGACCCTGTGGAGCGCTGAGCCCTGCTCCTCCCCGGCCCGCAGGTCCCTCCCAGCGCTGCCTCCCCGAGGGAGCTGCCAGATTCAGGCCATGACGAAATCGGACTTTGGAACACGTAGGTATGGCCGGCAGTGGATATTCTTGCACCATATTGCCAAACTCCTGCCCTGGTCACTCTGCAGAAAAGACTCTCGCCGTGAGGACCGCCCTTCCGCCGGAAGTTAACGTGGTTGCCTGGGAAACACGTCGCCATAGAGCTAGCACCACCCAGAGACATGGCGTGCAGCGGAGCGCTGACTGCCGAACTGGCGGGTTTAGCTTTCAGACTGGAGGCCGCAGGTTCCGGGCTCTCCTCGCCCGCCGCGAGCTGGGGACTCTCCAGGGGGCTCCGAGGGACAAACTAGCTCTGAATCAGCAGGTGCTCACTGAGGCAGGTTAAAGGATTTGCTATGAATCCCCCAGGTCAACAGTGCCCAGTAGCTGGCAGTCGTTACTGAACATTTGTTTAACAGAGCAGCTCTGTCCATTCTCTCCGCTGCTGAGATGTCGGGAATTGGTACCACTTGGTAGGAAATAAACTGAAAGTATTAGCCGTGGAGTGTCTGGGAATAACGAAAAGTAGCACCACCCAGTGCTGACCTGAAACAAGCATTCCAAGGAGTGCACTCCAAATGCCAGGGTGTACTACAAGTTTCAGGGCGGGCTGCTGTAGCAGGAAGTTAGTAGCCGCGGTCCGTTTTCAAGACCAGCGCATCTTAAATCTCTGATTGTGAAATCACCGCCTCGTGTAAACGCAAGACCACTTGATTTTCTGGATTGACTTCATTTTTAAAATGTAATTTTTATTAGTACATGTTTGCAGTACATAATGCTTACATTCAATCATGGGGAGTTGGTACATGTACATAATACATCTTACTTATTTTTACTTCTCCTCCAAGAGATAAAACTTTGAAGGGGAATAGAGAGAAGATTTTGGGAATTTAGAGTGATCTCAACATAATGCTGATTCGTTCTTTACAAGTTACTTCTTCAAAGGATTAAAACAGACTTTTTATTATGCCTGCACAGGTAAACTGAGCTTCTGATTTGCTGATGTTTTGGATTAGTTGTTCATATCAGGTTCTAAAATCTTAAGTCAGAAATCATATCTACTTTGCTCACCAACATATCCCAGCATAAGTAGAATGCCTGGCATGTTTAAGTCACCCAAATTACGGATGCATAAATGACTGCATAGATGTAAGGGTTAAAAATGTCTACCAAGGGGCCTTGGATTTAGCTCAGTGTTGCAGCGCCTGCCTGGAAAGCATGAGGTCCTAAGTTCAATTCTTTGTACCCCGCCCCAAGGAAAAAAAAAGTCTACCAGGTACAATAATCAGAGGTACAGCAATCCAGCAATTCTACAGACAGATGGGGACCAAAGCCAGATTACTATAGATCAGCAATAAATGAAAGGGTTGAATTATATACCTTATTCAAGAGGCCAGTTAATACATGACAACTGTCAATACAGAGATAGAACAACTCAGTGAAAAGAGCATGGGGTTTTGAGTCCTGCAAACCTAAATACAAACTCTAGCTCATTTCCTTATTGGCTATAAGACTTTGAAAGGAAAAGCACCTAAGTGCATATCATCCATAAAATAGGACTAATATCAGCTGCTTTGTTGCTGCTTGAGTGTACAAGGAGGTGATGAAAAACACCCAGATCATGTTATAAGTGTGTGCAGGGAAGAGTCACTATTACAACCTATCTGGTTCTTGGACTTTACTCCTACTCAACAGTGCCTGCTCCTGATTCCAAATTCCTGTGATAACTGAAACTTGATAGATATGACACCTGGGCACCTTGGATAGGAGAAAGGTAAGGTTAAAAAAAAAAGCTTAGAGAGGGATTAAAAGTGGCAGAGTAAAGACTGGCAGCAAAATAGAGCTGCTCCATGGTCTGGAATCAAAACATCTGGAAAAACAACTCAGTGAACCAAAAAAGTAAATCTCTGAGAATTGAGGGGTGGGAGAAAGATGCAGGAAAGCTAGAAACTACAGAGAAGCTGGAGAAACAGCACAACACAAAGAAAAGAACAAAGCAGTCTGGAAAGTTAGTCCCAGCTCCTGGGGAGAGAGAGCTATCTCCACTAACACAAGAAAACTGGATGCCAAGCCAATTACATTGCATTTTCCTCCCTCAGACTCACAGAGTGGTTTGCTCTTGGGAAAAAGGCAAAGCTCTATAGTTAGCCATTGCTGGAGTCTATTCTGAAAAGCAGACACTAAAAAAGAGGTCTACTGTAACAACAAAGTCTACTGTAATTGTAACTGACTTGTAGCCCTTAGCATACACACAATAGAAGCATAAGAAAACAAGGCAACAAAATGCCTCCAAAACCTCCAACTCCCCCTTGACTGATCCATGAGGCCTCAGTGGACAGGAATTAAAAGTTAAACAGCTGAATTATATGAAATGATAAAAGAGGAAAAAGCAGGGCAATAAGCTTCTCAAGGAGTTCAAAGATATTATAACTAAGCAGATAACAGATTTAATAAAATCATCAGTGAGCTTGCAAAAGAAGTACTAAAAAGCTAGGTGAACTAAAGAAAATAAAACAAAATATGACCACTTTGGCAAAGAATCAGAATCCGTGAAAAGGTACCAAACAAATCCAGAAGATAAAAATTCTTCTGGATTTTTGTGCATCAGAATGTGAGGATGGAGTATCAGAACTACAAATAGGGCTAATGCAGGTGACCACAGACTCAAGAGGTACATACAAACAATAGGAGAATATGGACAATGGATCAAACAGCTACTAGATAATGCAAAGAACAGTAAAGTTGATTACAATTAGTGAAAAATCAGAAGACAGTACAAATGGCATAAAAACAGTTTAAAAAATAATAGCAAAAAACTTACCAAGTACAAGAATGAATTTAATATATAAGTGAGGCATATAGAATCCCAAATAGGCATGATCAGAAAAGATCATCTCCATAACACACCACATTAAAATCCTGGAAGTCCAACACAAGGACAGACTCTTAAAAGTTCTTAAAGCAAAAAATCATTTGCAAAGGTAAACCCATTTGAATTATAGCTACCTTTTCAACACAAACATTAAAAGCCAGGAGAGCTTAGAGTGAAGCATTTCAAGCCCTACAAGAATACAACTTCAAACCTAGGCTGATATACCCTGCAATGTGCTCTTTCAAAACTGGAAGAAAAACTAGGACTTTCCATCAAAGAACACCTTAAAAATTGATGACCACAAAACCAATACTCAGAAAAATTCTCAAGCATATTTTAGAAAGAGACAATGAAGACAACAATGCCAAAATGTCTAATTGAATGACTACACCATGTAGGGGGAGCACTTAAGTAGAGGGTTTCCCCTTCTGAGAAAGTGACAATGCAAATCCAGGCAGACCCTAAATGTCATCTTCTTGACAACACTATATTTGAATGTTTTTCAACACTCTACTGAAGCTGTTCAAGTTTTCAAAAGAAGGGAAACTCAAAATGCTTTTGTAGAGAATAATAGAAACATGACATCCCCAAACCACCACACTTCCAGAGGGAAGGTAGTGGAGGAGTACCAGTCAGTCCTCACAGGTGTCCTTGTGAATCACAGTCTATTGCCCCATCCTTCTCATCCCAGGGGGTCTCTAGCAGCAGGTGGTCTGCTCAGAACTTGGCCACTGAGTCCACCCTCACGCCTGGCCACATCCACAAAGGTGCAATATGAGAGTAGCCCCTTTCCTCATGGAAACCACTGGGGACCCTCATAGACCACACACTCCATTAGGAACAAGAATTCCTCTCTTCTCCTGGCCAGAGTTAAGGCTTTCTAAGAGGAGCCAGGAAAGGCCAAACTTTGCCCAGAGTCCCTGGCAGGAGGCCAAGGAGGCCCCCTGTCCTGAGCAGAGTGCAAAGCTATAAACTCAGGTGATTCAGAGCAGAGGTAGTAGCAATTAAGAACACCTGGTATATCAGTTATTATGACTGTTTAGATATGATGAGGACAGCATTTCATTTAGCGTCTCAGCCTCAATTTTCCCACTTTAAAAACTATCTTATTCCAAGATTCATCCATAAAGTATAAGGAGAGGTGGAGAGATAGCTGCACACCTGAATCACAATCCAAGGTAGAAGCATGAAACAACATTGTACTCTTTATTTTAAATAAGTGAGCAGCAGAACCATGGTCACTAACAGCAGGCTTTTACTACTGGGCCATACAGAGAAGGGGAGCACGGAAAAGGAGCCCAGTTTCTACACGACGTGTCATTTATAGAACCTCCTTTCCACTCTGACATATAGATCTATTTGTAATCATCATCATTAGGAAATTACTATTCTGCAATATACATACTCAAAAATCCAGGGAATAACACTTTCTCTGGCAGTATATTTAGTTTAGCAATTAGAACATAAACCTAAGAGAAGTTACAAGGCCAAAGCTATTAGACTCCATTTCCAAAACACTTATGTAAAGTGAAAACACTACAGAAAACAGATGCTTTACTCCTTGCTTCTCCTTCAGAAGAAGTGTTGAGAATGCCAGTCATCTACAAAGCAGCACGACTTACTTGAGTTGTGTATCGGTCTAAAAGAATCCCTCTGATCACCTGAGGTTCCAGTTTTCTTCATTGTCAAAGTCAACAGTTCTCAGCCAGGCCTGAGCATTAAATTTAAACCAGTGGAACTTTTAAACTTTCAACACTCAGGATCCACTGCAGACCAATTAAATTGGTTCTGAAGAAAAAGTACTGGGCATGGGTAGCTTTTAAATCACTGCCAGATGATTTTAACAATAGGTAGAGCTGAAAAACAAAACAGTGGAGCAAAGGTTATCACCTGAAGAGGGGACAAGAATATATTCTGCAGTCATGTTTTCCCTGGGCCATTTTCCCTCCTGTAGCTTGTGGACTTTGGAGGGCACCAAAGCAAAATGTCACATGGTCTGCAGCAGCATTACTGAGCACTTCTCATATCACAGTCCAGAAAAAGTACTTTGCACCCCAAGATAAAAATAATAGTATCACCTAACTTGTTCTGCTATAAAACAAAACTTAATAGTTTGTCATAAACCTAGACTCCCTAGAAAGTAAGTTTGGGGGATGGTTATTGCTATACTAAGTCTGAAGATTTGCTGTGACCTTTGTGGATATGTTAATCATGCAAAGAACTAGCTATTTTTTCACCATAAACAGACTGATGCACACAAGAAAACCTAAGAGTAGTGGCTGTTTTGAGGACAGCATGCATGTCTTCAACCGTGAGTCCATGTCCTGAAACTGCTGATCATAAACCCCAAGGAGAAACCATTCACAAACTGAGATTAAGGACAACTCTCCCAACATTCCAAGAAGGCCAAGGAGGCCCCCTGTCCTGAGCAGAGTGCAGAGCTATAAACTCAGGTGATTCAGAGCAGAGGGAGTAGCAATTAAGAACACCTGGTATATCAGTTATTATGACTGTTTAGATAAGATGAGGACAGCATTTCATTTAGCCTCTCAAACTCAATCTCAGTTTCTTCTTTAGGAAAATGGATCTGAAAGTAGGCTCAAGTGAAGGGTCACTACATTTTTTGTTTGTTCTTTTTCAGCCAAAGCAGTTTTTCAGTCTCTTGATTCTTCAGAAGAAAACACAAATCATATTTTCACCCCCGATGTTATCCTCTGTAATCTTAAGTGGAAAGGAATGGAGGTCTATTTTGCTTCTAGAAGTGACCTTAGGCCTGGAATACTTGGTGGGCACTGAAGGCACAGAAAGGCCTAAACCAATGGAGCCTGAGTTACTCTTTGGAAGGTTTGCTGTAGTCTTCACAGGTTAAAATGTCACAGTGTCCTGGCTGTCCTTGGCAGGCAAGGGCCAAACTATTAGCTGTCCTCTTAGCCCTTATCTACTTTAACTTTGGTCTCCAAGTTTCACTGTTACATACCCAGAAGCTCAGTTCCACCAATCCTGAAGTGGAAGTATTGGGTTGTAACTTTAACTATAGTAAGTTAAAGTGAGATGCAAGAAGTTATTCCTTTTACTGAATGTAGATTAGCATTATTACTGGGAGTCAGTGTCATATCTTATCTATCTTTTAGGTGATGCATATCTTCTCAGAATACTGCTTAGTTGTTTATTAGAGGTCATGCATTTACCGAATATTAACAGGCCAAAGTTACAAAATTCAGAAGTGAATATGAAAGAAAACTAACAAAGTAGTCAACTTAGTGTAATCCTGAACCACAAAACATAAGTTTGGTGTTTTTAGAAACTGTATCCAAGAGTACTTGTTAAGAGTCCTTTTTATGAATGAGGATACACATGCTTTAAAGAAGAATCAAAGACATGGGTGACAAAGACTGAAAATAACCATGGTTAGAACTGAGGAAAGTTTAGCAAATGACAAGAAGATTAGTCACTTTTATTATATACAAATTTTAGGATAACAGTTATGACTGACATTATTACATCAGGATCATTAGGCTCTCTTTACTATTTTCCCCAAAATATACTTAAATGTTCATTTTATTACAAAGAATACTACAGGACCCCAAAAGTCTATCACCTCTAACAATTTTAGTTTGGGAGTTACCAGTATGGTAAGATGTTTACCTAAATTTGTACTTTAGAAGACTTATACATATGGGAAACATAAATGCATTTATCATGCAAAGAAGTCAGTAATAACTACTTTCCAGCCAAATAGAAATCCTTTACACTGTATTAATGTAGCTTCTACTTTTGAGAGGAACTTTAGAATCTTCTAGCAGGTCTATACAGGTTGGATGCCAAGCAGGTTTTAAATAGTAGGAATGCACAAGTGGTGGATTTTTTAAAAACATCATACTGGGGCTGGGGATTTAGCTCAGCGGCAAAAGCGCCTGCCTGGCAAGCGCAAGGTCATGAGGTCAGTTCCCGGTACCGGAGAAAAACCAAAAAAAAATAAAAATAAAAATAAAAATAAAAACATCATACTGAAAATCAATGTAGAAATGCCAAAAGCTAAACTAACCATATTATATGTTTAAGCTCTAGATGCAATGCATACTATGTTAAAATGGGAACTTATTGGTTATCTTGCTTATATTAACATTATATGATTTTAAATCTACAAATTACTGAACAATATTACAGTATTAATCCTGAAAATAAAGCTCAGTCTGAGCATATTTACCCTTCAGATATATAAACATCTCCTATCCTAGATATATATGTTATCAAATGTATTAGTGACGTAAAATAATAATTGTCCTTTTAATCAGAGTTATAAAGTGGCCCTTTAAAAGACTTTAAAAAAAACTGACACTTAAACCCTGATTTTGTTAAGACTCAATTCCTTAAGTAATCAAACTCAGTGAAGCACAAGAAAACACAGGAAATCATCTTGATAAAATGTAAAATCCTTGTTCTTTTCAGTTTTGTAAATATTTTAAGAACAGATTAAGGTTTTAGGAAAACCTCATGTTTGAAGTAGACAATTAGATTTTTTTGTTCTATATCAATGTATTAAATTTTTATTTTAGAAAATCCTTAAATAACTTTTTTTGAGACAGGGACTCATTAGGTAGCTCAGATTGGCCTAGAACAAATCGTCTTCCTGCCTTAGCCTCACAAATGCAGGGATTACAGGTGTGCATCAACATGCCTTGTCAAATAATCCTTTTTAATTATGGTAAATTTAATCACACATACAAGAATTTTTTCTGGGGATGATGGCACTGGCTTGTCATTCCAGCACCTGGGAGGCTGAGGCAGTTACAATGCCATGAGTTTGAGGCCAGTCAGGGTTACAGAGTGAAGTCAGTGCCAGCTTTGACTACATAGCAGGACCCTATCTCAAAAAAACAATGAAACAAAAAAAAATTATACTACTTGTTCATTATGACCTGTTCGGACATTTTTCAGAAATCTGTCATTTGGCTAAAAAAATTTACCATAACAAATCCTTAACTGTCTAGCAGGACTTTTAAAAAATGAAAGTAACTGGCAAAAAAGTAAGGGACTGAGAGTAAACACAGTATCATAGGATCCATGAAAAACCAGGGGAGTCAGGGTCTCGGAGAAAACTAAAGCAAGTTCATTTAGATGGCTTGTTTTCAGCCATAGAGGGAGTTTCATCTGGCAGTCTTGTGGCCCCAAGGGGTTTCCCAGAGGAAAACTCCCACTTCTCTCTCTCTCACTTCTTTTTTGAGACAGGGTCTCACTATGTAATGCAGGCTGGCCTTGAACTTGCTTATGTAGCCCAGGCTGGCCTCAAATTCACAATGATCCTCTTGCCTCAGCCTCCCGAGTGCTGGGATTAGAGGTGCCTGGCCTCATTTCTTTTTATCTTTTTGTTGTTGTTGTTGTTTTTCTGGTAACGGGAATGGAACTCACAACCTTGCACTTGCCAGGCAAGCTCTGTGTCTTTTTATCTTTGAATAAGGAAACATACATTAGAAATTTTAACTCTTAGTAACCTTTACTGAAGTTCAGGAAGAAAGCAATTTTAAACTGTGTGTGTGTGTGTGTGTGTATACATATAAAATCAATAATTTAAGAAAACACATTAAATAGACCCAAATGAATTGTCCACATATAGACTTTAAGAAACCATGAGTACTTGAATTTATACTTATTGACTGATGACTCAGATACTTTTATAAACATTTCTGAGCATTTATCACAATTATGTTTAGTTAACTTATCCATTTTAACAACTATTTTAGATTATCCATGAGAACCAAAATATTGGTTCTAGCAGAGCTTACACATTAATGTAGTCATATGTTTCCAAGGCCTCATCTTTTAAGTAAGAAGCCATGCAAGCCCAATGATTCTGTCCTCCTTTGTCTTTTTGGTAGACTACAGATTTATGGAAGGAAGGGAGAGAAACTGAGGAGAGAAAGCATGAGACTAAAAAGTCACGCTTGTCCATGTGAACTCTGTAGGTAATACAGTGTTGTAGCAAAAGCTGAAGAACAGGAATGTTGGGGAACCCTGTGGGTGAACGAGACAACCTTGGTCCTGGGAGATGAGCTGAGAAAAAGGGAGAGTCAGACCAAGAAAGGTGAGTGCCACTCTCCTCAAAGAAGTGACTTTAATGCAACTTGCAAATGGATTTCAGAGAGCATAGTTCAGCGGTTAGAGACAGGACTTGGTTCATGACCTGCTGAAAACCCTTAACTTTTGGTAGTGTTTCTGTGTGAGAAGTATGAGGTGTGAGCCAGAAATACAGTGAATGTTTAAATTTTTAAAAATTCGGTACAGTAAAAGACACATTGCCATCAATCCCCCTCAAATTACTCCCCTTCCCTTTGAACACACATATTCCATCATTCTTACCACTTTCTGAAGCAGTCCTGGAGGTCCTTGTTCATGAGTATCTTTATGAGGTGTGGTAAAAAAATGCAGTGAATGCTATCACCAAGCGCCATCCAACAGAAAGGCCCGTAAACACATTATGGCGGGTCCTCATTCACTTCACCAATCCGACACCACGCAACTTCCGGCTCTTTCCCAAAGTCAAAATGAATAAAAAGTAGATTTTTACAATAAAAAGTAGATTTTCAAAAAATCAATTTAGGATATTGAGGGAGCAATGATAACACAACTAAAGACTTGAAAGAGAACTTCCAGAACTATGTCAGAAAGTAAACAGAAGGATAGGATATGTGTCTGAAGTGAGGGGCAGTATTCTGAGGGGTTAATGTCAACATCTTTTACTACAACAATTTTCTTTTAAACATCCACTGCAACTTTTGATCACACTTTGTATTTCAGTGAGAACTGGTACAAACTCTTGCATATCCCTTAAGTCAGGGCTTCTGGGCAGATCCCCAGGAGAATGACTAGTAGCAAGAGCAGAGTGCTTACCAAATGGATTAGTATCTTTACAAGGTGTGATTTAAAAAAAAACCCCACAGTGTGTGTTGCCTCCAAGTGCCATTTAATGGAAGGCCAGCTTGTAAAAACATTACAGTTGTTCACCAGAACTGGCATTATGTGACTTCTGGCTCTTTCCCAAAGTCTAAATGATCATGAAAGGTAAACATTTTGAATTTATTCAGGACATTGAAGCAACTATGAGTGTGCAACTAAAGTATTTTTAACTATATTGCTTTGTCCAGATATTTGCTTTAAAGCTTAACTAATGTGGAATGGTGGGTCACAGGCTATCAATGAACCCTTGCCAGTTGTCAATTTTCCCTCCCAGAGAAGTATCTATCTATTTGGCTAATGCTAAAATGAAAGGGAGAGAGGTAGATCGAGAATACAGGTGTATGCAAAATTAGATGAAATAAAAAGGCTAGAAAAGCTAGGTGTCAACCTTGGTTGGTATAGTTTCAATACCTTTCCTGGTAGAGGTAGGTACACTTTGTCCCTTGTGTTTTGGTTTTCTCCTTATTGATGGTTGGAGTTATGGGTAGGAAAGCATTAAATATTTTATCCTCTGTCCTTTTATAGAATTGCAGTGGACTTTCTCTTGCGTTTATCAAATAGGTATGTCATTGTGTCTTCCTAGTGTTCATGAAAACCAAAGTTAAATGTTCAAGTCTTTTAAGTGCTGTTTTCTTGAAGGAGCATATCTTGTTCCAATTTTAAAAGGATATAACATTCCAGGGACTTACTTTGGTAGATAGGTTTTTAACAGGACGTAGCTGTCTAGTTCCAGTCCTTTCATGGATTTCTATGATCTTGAGATAACTGAGCTCCCTAGGAAACTATTTACTCTCAGGCCAACTAGACGGCACAGTGGACGCTTTCCTGGGTCTCATTCTACAAAGGGTCTTACACTCAGAGAAAGCCTTCCCATCATGACTAGATGGCTCAATGGAATGTCTGTCACCAAGTATACACACTGTATCACTAGCCCCTCAACTAATAGAAAGTGACCATCACCCTGGAGTCCTCCTCCTTTCCTGCTCCCAGGAGTAACCAATAGCCTGATTTCTGATGCCTTCAGTTAGTTTGCTTCTTTTCACAAGTTATAAATAGAATGAGGCAGTGTATTTTTAAAATCTGGCTTATTTTACTTATATTTGTGAAGTTCATCCCCCATAATTGCACATAGTCTTTCTTGTTCATTCTCCTTGTCCTAATGGTATTGAACTGTTTATCTCATTTATGGTTGTTGGACATTTAAGTAGTATCCAGTTTGGGCATATTACTAATAGGGTTTCAATGAATTTTTTTGCATAACTTTTTATGTTGGTTATATTTTGTCTGTTTAGGGACTACTCAGTAACTTAGCTTCAGCAGCCCCATAAAGTGTTGGCCAACTAGGCTTCTCCGAAAGCAGAGGGGTTGATTTTAGGTAGCCAGGTGAGTTGTCTGCTTCCATGGGATGTTCTAAGCATGCTCACTCATCAGAATGATACAGAAGTGTTTTCACAGGTCATTCAGAGACTGTGGTCAGGTGGAAGCCCTGTCTGGTATATATGTGATACGGTGAGGCTGTTCTATGGTAAAGGATGGTTCTTGTTGCATGGTTCAGGAAGGGATTACAGAGGTGAAGAGAGATAGAACCCCAAAGAAAGTTGTGTCTGGGCTGCCTAGAAACTGCCAAGAAAGAGCCGGAGCAAGTAACAACCCAGGGGAAGATTCAGCTTATGAGGCTGGACAAGTCTAAAGGGATGGGCAGAGAAATAAAACTGGATTTGATCAGAGAGTGTGGAGCTCAGAAGGAGCTCTCAAAGCATTTTATGAATGAATTAAGTTTATAACTTTTGTTTTAAGGAAATTTTGAAGGAAGAGGAGGAGGGGAAGGAGGAGGGAGGAGGGGGAGGCAGAAGGAGTAGGGGAGAAAGAGAAGGAAGAGGAGAAGAAGGAGGAGGGGGAAAGCTCAGTTCCTACAGTACAAATCTTAAACTAAGAATGAACAACCAAAAAATTATTACACTAGGAAAATGTATTTTTCTAAACAAATCTGGACTGTAAGGATGTGAGCTTTGTTTGGAGGCTGTTCTTCATTCAGATATCCGCCCCATGCCCTTCCTGTCCCCTGGCCTCTCAGGAGCTTTGGCTTTCTCATGTATAAAACTGAAATATTAACATGCTCACCTATAGGGGCCCTGTAAATGCGCTCTGAGAATTTAGTGCAGCAGTTTCACCAGTGTGCTTCTTGGCACATAGCACCACCAGTAAAATCAGTTAACATTCTTAGCATTTTTCTTATTCTTGTTTCTAATATTACCTGTGTGACTTTTTATATGGTACTCTATAGGAATTCTCAATTTTTTAAAAATACCAGGTTCTTGTTATTTTGTTAGTGATGAACACTAACAAAAATATTTGCTTACTTGCCTGACTTTCAGGTGAAACTCAGAGGAAGGATGAAGGGGAAATCCTGTCCATGTGTTTCTGGAGTATCCTTTACTGTGAGGACAGCCTTGGCGGTCTGGTGTACTCGTTTAGTTTAAGAAGAGGTCAACAGAGCTAAGAGTAGCAGGAAGGTAAGGGTCACTTGCATGAAGGAAATCATAATTTTATGCACTATACTCTTAATTCCTGCATGGCATTTTTAAAACATACCCTGATGGGACAGGATGCTTTGGTGCAAGAGACTCTGTGGGCAGCTGATTCTGAAGGCACAGCCAGGCTAGGATGTATGTTCAGGCTGGCAGTGGTTGGTAACTTCTTTCTACCTCTGTCATCGGATCTGGACTAGGTCCAGGGCCTGTGGTGTACATGAAGCCAGAGTTTACCCTCAGGAATATCACTGTTCAACAAATACATAATCTAGTGTTCTGAAAAGGAAACTTGTAGAGATGCTTCTGTCAAAGAGAGCACTGACCCACAGTCTAAAATTCTACTTCTGCCTTTACTATATGTCATTTAAATTTCCTGGACCTTAGATTTCCTGTCAGAAAGTTGGTCATTGAGACAAAAGCAGGTTCTGTGAATCTCCTAAATGTGATATTTCCTTTGGGACACATTTGTATAATTCTAGATGCTAGATTCTTTCACAGTCCTGTCCCAGAGCAAAAATTCTTATGACACCAGATTGTGGTGCTTGTGATAATGGGACAGGGAAGGATCTTAAAGTGTGACCTAAGTTCACAAAATTATTATTGTCCATGGCAGATAAAAAAAACAAATAAACAGACTTAAGGCCCCATGAGTACATACAAATCCATTTTCCCACCAATATTTACTTTAACCATATTGACATACCTTGCTCTTTTTAAAATGGTGTATATACTTCTATCAAACTACATACACAGATATAAAATATACTGAATATATGTATAAGGTGGATTGACAGCTGGTGGTCAGCTTGTAACAACCAGCTGAACTTAACCAGCATGGTGCTTGTTATGGGAGGCCATCTGAGGACTGTTGCCAGCAGCATAAGAGTCAGGATTGGAGAAGAAGAAGAGAAACCACTGGGAGCTTAGAGAGGCTGTAGGGAGCTGGTAGAAGCTGTTGGGTGCTGTTGAAGGAGCTGTTGGTTCTCTTGAAGGAGCCTGTCATGCTGGCTTTCCTGATGTACTGGGCTGTTTTCATTGTCTGAGGAGCTCGGGACCTTGTTGTTGCTGAGAATGGCTTTAGTTCACTTTCGGGGAGCTCTGGTCCTCACTCTGAGCATCACTTCATGGCTCTGAAGGGGAAGATGGTGCACTGTTCAGTCTCCTGGAGAAGATTGTCATGTTGGCTTTCCTGATCAGAAGAGCTTGGGACCTCACTGTTGCTGAGGATGGCTGTTGTACTTTTCAGGGGCGTGCCAGTTCTTACTTTGAGTGTTGCTTCCTGGCTCCAGTGTAGATCCCTCAGCCTGCTAGCACATCCCCTTCTTCCCGCTGGCACAGACTTTCTAGCTTCCACCACTGGCCTTTGGGCCTTCCTAGTGCACACCCATGAAAAAGGCCTGCATGGGTCATTGTCATGGGCTCTAGGCCTCCAGTTGGACTTGTGGGAGACACTGTTACAGGCTCTAGCTCTTCAGCTGGATTCATGCAGGACATTATTGTGGGATCTAGGCCCTCAGCTGGATTCTTTGGTATTTAGTGTGTGGACAGTGTCAGGCTAGACCCTGAGTAGTGACCAAGACCACAAGGACAGGAAGGATTGAAGCAAATAGCACATCTTTATTTCAGGCTGGGTGCAGCCTGGGCCAAGGGTGAAAAAGCCATTGGCCCTGAACAAAGGAAGGGGGCCTACTTTATAGACTATTTTAGGTATGAAAGGTGGGAAATTCCACTGAGGAAGGTGGAAAATTTAAGTTCCTCAGGGGTGATTGGTGGTTCTGGTGCATCTGGGGGAGGGAAGTGCAGGAAGACATTGGCATGTTGTTGATTTATAGTGTGACATTCTGTAGACTTCTGAGGCTTCCTGCAAGCCTGAGAACTAGACCCGGAAACCATCCTGACAAACAGATCCACTTTAGTCTCTTGAGTTGAATGAGAGGCTTTCCATTTGAACAGACTGATTGTCTGCTGGAATTTTTCTCTTTAAGTCAAGAAGTACAATGTGAGGGACCTATCAGACAGATTTCCTGCACTCTCTTTCTGCATATGGTTCTTTGGGTGACTATTATAAATAATCTTATAAAATATGTTTCCTGTATTATACTGTTCCCCTTGCAAAACCCCAAACCAACACAAGGTATAGTTGAATTATGCATGCTATGTTTGGATTGAATGTCTCTATTTAAATTCTCATTCCACACATTGTGGTTACACCTTTGAGAGCGTCCCAAATAAAAGTTGGGTTGGCTTTGTTACACAAATTTTGAAGAAAACATTTATTGGAAAGCACTATTAGCATTACAATTAAATATTTTTTCAAAGCAATGCTTAAAATTAGCATTAAAATTAAATATGGGATCAAATGGAATTAATAAAAACAACTAAACAGTGTTCTGATTTAGTTACTTTTAAGTTCTAATCTTTATCCTGTTATATCTGGGGGTATCTGGTTGAACTGATAGCAGAACCAGTCGTACAGGAAAGAATTAAAGAAAACTCAAAACTTTGAATATTTGTACTTTCAATCTTTTAGGTACTCTGGAGACTGGCATATGGATGAAGTATCTTTTGCCTAAGAGTGCAGGCAACACCCTGGCCTCCCCACTCTGCTGAAGGACACCTTCCTATCTGCAGAATGACATGGAGGGAGAGGACACTGTGGCCTCTCCACGCTGCTGAAGGATGCCTTCATATCTGTACGATGACTTACAGGTGTGTAGAGTCAACAGGGCTTTAAGAAAAGAACATGAAGAGAATTTGAACTTTCATTAGTGGATTTATGGTTTAATCTTAGGGAATTTTGGAGAAACTTAGGTTCTGATGCCAGAGTTTCAATGTACCGAAGCCCTCCACTGCCTCAGAAGTAGAGGAAGGAATTTTAAGAGCTCTTAAATCCATTACTTAAGAGCAGTGGCTCAAGGCTGTGGGCCTTATAATCAAAGAAACAATGAGGAGGGTCCCTTTGGGGTGCAGTGTTCCTTGAATGCCACAGTGCTGTCCTCTTCTGGTCAAGTCACAGCCCTGAGTCTTTTGAACCAAGAAGAAACTTAAATAAAAGATGTGCCAGTTCACAGCCATGGTGGCAGGATCCGTCTAGTCTGTAAGCAGAAAATGGTGTGTGCTAACTTTTTAGAAATTCTGGCAGCTTTCTGATTGGAAAAACCTTGACAGCTTCCAGTGAGCAACCCTGAACTGGAGAGTAATCCCTTGCTAATGACAGACAGCTAAGTACACTACAATAATTGCCTTCTGTGTTTTCATTTGTATTTCAAAGATCAAATTCTCATCGTACTATCAATTTTTTTCCTATGTATCTTTCACTCCTGTAGTAGTAATTTTGTAGTAGTAATTTGTAGTAGTTTTGTAGTAGTAACAGCTTGGGGTAGTAATTATGTGATTGGCTATAGATACTTAAGCCATTTGATACTGTGGTATGTAGATTTTAAAGGAAATGCCATCAGATGTCTTTCTGGGATATTCTGTGCAACCTTGTACTATATTTATTTTGGATCTTACTCTTCTTGCCCTTGATTTCTGATTAGCTCTTTCTCCTCTCTGCCTTTGTCTCTCAATGTGCTTAAAAGATTTTCAACAGTTCTGTACTTGTCCAACAAATAAACATTATCTCAACCTTGGGGCAGAATTAAGATACAGAATAACAGGGCTGGGGACATAGCTCAGTGGCATAATAGCCTGCCTGGCAAGTGCAAAGTCCTGAGTTCAGTTCTCGGGACAACAACAACAACAAA